TTTCCATAAAGCCAAAAAGTAGGATAGTAAGGGTTAGTTTTTCTATCTCTGTGACCAATATATGATACAACTAGTAGATATTTTTTTCAAAGGATAAGTATAGAAAGGAACTTCTCACTAGGAAGTAAACTTAATACTGACTGCGTTAAGAAACAGAGTTGAATCAGCATATTTATGATAAACATACACTGAGCTTGTAATCTAATTTCTATCTGTGAAATTCATATTTTCCTTTCTCCAATTGGTTTAGAGTGTCAAGTCAAGGATCTGAAGAAAATAAGGAAGTTTTGAAAGGTTAAGTACAGTTTGTGATAATTACTGAGTCAGTATAAGGAATCCAGTAAGTAACTCTTTAAGGGCCAAGAACTGAGGTTTTAGAAGAAAAACAGTAAAATGTGATAGCAATTCCTTGCTCAGCTAATCAAGGACGGAAATGGACAAATTTCTCATAGCGATGAATGTAACATACTTTACTATTCTTTGGAATGGTAAGGTACCTCAACACAGACAAAAGACTCTTGGAGAAGTGAGACAAGAGAACAGTGGGAACTACAGGTAGATACACAAAGTCAGTGGAAAGGAAACCTCTGCACTGGCCTTCCAAAGGGGAATGGTTGAAGAAATTTGGTCCTTCACAGCTTAATGGTCCCGAGTTGCATGATTTCCCTGGAAACAAAATTGATCTGAGAGAAGAGTAAAATGGCAGTCTGCTATAAGCAGGTGCCCTGGGAGACAGCTGAAATAGAAAACTTCCTTGTGTGCCCCCCACGAAAGGCCTACAGTTTAGATCAGAGAGTCAACAGAGGTGGAAGGGACTCCATTGGTTCCAAATGGCATAAGTGAAGAATTCTAGCGTCTAGTTTTAAAACAAACACAGCAATAATGATGGAAGGGCAACAAGTGTATCTACAAGCCTCAAGTAAAGCTCAGTCCTGTTTCTCCAGGTTGCCTTTACACTAGCTATTATATGGTCATCAGAGCTCCTTGGGCTCACTCTGGGCCTGAGCAGTTTCCACTGAAGGATATCAAACTAAAACTAAACAAAAAGCAGCTCAGTGTGCTAACAGCCATTAGTAAGTGCAGTAGAGAAGTTTGAAAGCACAGCTTTTCTCTGACTTCAAGGATAGTTTATTGCCTCCTCTGCCATATTCCTTATCTCAGGACTATAACACTATGATAGTGATAGTTTCTATTCAATTTTAGATTTTACCTGTAGGCTCCATATATATTGTTCTCTGACTGCATACCTGGAAATTGTATAGTATTCCTCCAAATCACATTCCTTTTCTCCCACTGTTGATCTTCAGCATCTTCTGCAATCCTATTCCAATATTTCTATTTGAGAGCACCTATTGCAGGCTTCAGAAAATGTCTTTTAGGACAATAATTTGTTTTAGCCTGCTTGTCTATGTGCTGATTTTATCAGTCAGAACTGACTGCATCTCTCTCCTTTCTCTTACTGATTAACTCTTTGCCCAACCACTATACTTGTACTTGTCACCAAGTGTAAACCACCTTTACCAAAATCAAGTCTGCTTCTAAGTGAAAGAACCTACCCTGCATGTTAGAGAACAAAAAATGCATTAAAGACGAGCCCATAGTAAGAAACAAAGACAAGAATAATTATTTTACGAATTTTGAGTGTTTCTGATTACTTAAATTTCACATAGCCTTTTCGGTATCATTTGTTACTAAAATAAGGCAAATTTATTTAATGTCCAATTATGGTCTTATTCAGACTTATTTTTGTTTTAGGAGCTGAGCACAAGCAGCCATTATTTTTAAGAAGAAACACGACGAAAATCCCCGTGACAGAATATTTCAACCAGTCAAAGTCTCCTCTCAGGTCCAATACTCAGGAAAGCCAAACAGGAAAAGCAAGGGGTACACAGCAAGATAACACTTTCTGTTCTCAGAGAGGTTTTTATCCTTTCGTAAGCCAGAAGTAGAAGTTGTTGTACACCAGGCTAACCTTTTCACAATGTTTGCAACTTCAGGTTAATTTCTGAAAGATTCAAATGGTCTGGTCTTCTTAATAGTGGCACATGTAAATCTCACAACACCTGAATACAATGCTACAAATAAATGTTAATGAAGACAATATTTCTATTTGTCATCAATTTTAATACTATGTGTAAGAGAAATAGGTTTGTTCAAATACTGTTGTCTATCTGGAACAGTTAGTATTAACACAAACACATCAAGCTTTGATACTGGACAGATAACCCATCATTGGAATATGTTGCTTTGAGCTGATTTTTGCAATCTCAGTGTTTTGTTGAGCTATTGTAGAAAAGTTCTCACCTATCCCCTGCCTTTGCCTCTTAATTCTGTAGAATTGCCCTCCTCTGCCTTTTTGTTCATCATGAATGTTTTCACTGATCTCTAGGGAATCAGAATGAAACTTGCTTCTCAGGAATAAGCTTGGTTTATGAAGGCTAGTGAGAGCTGTTAAAGAAATTAAACGGGGAAGCTGGGCACCCATGAGAAACATTTATAACTCTAGCTACTTGTGAGGCTGAGATTGTGAGGATCATGGCTGCGTGCCTGCCCAGGCAAAAATGTTCATAAGAAGCTCTCTCAAAAGAAAAAGTTGGTCATGGTGGCAATGCTTGTCATCTTGGCTACAGAGAGAAATGTAAATAGGAGAGCCACAGTCCAGGCTGGCCCTGAGCAAAAAGTGAGACCCAATCTCAAAAACAACCAAAGGAAAAAGGGCTGGAAGTTTGCCTCCACCAGTGGTAGAGCATATGCCTAGAAAGCAAAAAAACCTGAGTTCAAGCTTTAGTGGAAAGGAAGGGAGGGAGGGAGGGAAGGAAGGGTGGAAAGAAGAAATAAGGGAAGGATGGGTAGAAAGAGGGTAAAGAGAAGTGAGAGAAAGAAGGAATAAATTAAATGATGAAAGGAGTCCTAGTATTTCAGAAAACGCATATTCTTTATCAGTCCTGGGCACTGTCTCCAAGCTTTTTGCTCAAGGCTACCAGTCTATTACTTGAACCATGGCTTCACTTCTGGCTTTATGGTGGTTAATTGGAGATAAGTCAATTGGAGATAAGTCTCATGGACTTTCCTGCCTAGGCTGGATGTCAGTCTCTTAAGTAGCTAAGATTACAGGTGTGAGGCACTAGTACCTGGCATACAGGTAATCTTTTGCTGCATGGAAAGTATTCCTTAGCTTTATTATATTCTAATACAAGTGAGTTAATATTAACTTGTTTTAATAGCGTTATTTAAATAAACAAGTTGTGAAAAATAACACATTAAAATAAGAAAAAGCATATTGTTTTAAAAAAAACAATTATTAAATACTTCAGAAAATAAGTTATTTTCAAACAAAGTGATAATCACCACCAGTATCCTAGATAAGGTATGGGCTGGTAGTGGATATAGAGCTGGGTTCTTCCATGAAAGATACATGGAATCCTAGCATCTGGGAGCCATGAAACTTGACATTCTTTGAGAATAGAGGCTTTGTGGATGTAGTCAAGCAGAGATCACACTGAATTATGGTAAACCTAGTTCAAGGCTGCTTTCCTAATGAAGGGAAATTTGGGGGGGCACAACACAGGAGAAATGTGACAACAGAGAAGATTTGGGTGATCCAATAGAAAGCCAAGGCACGCCAGGATCGCTGGTAATGCCTAGTACTAAAAGGTGGGAGGGGCCTTCCCCAGCGCTGGGAGGGGGCAAGGCCTTACCAACCCTCAGTTCTGGACCTTCAACTAGGGCTGGGAGAATGAGTTTGTTGCTTTAATCCACCCACTTTGTGGTGGGGTTTACAGCACACCTACAAAACTAACATAAGGCTTTTATAATTAAGGAAAGCTAAACGACATGGTTTGTACCTGTAATTTTTGTTTACCTTTCATAATTAAAATTGTGCTATGCTATGGCAGATCATTTAAGTAAAAGGTTTATTTCATACAGTAAACCAGATTAATTTGAAATAGCTGAACTTTGGAAAATTATGACTTCCAGATAACTGTTTTTTTTTCCCAGTTGTAAGGCTTTTCTTTATTTACATGCCTTGTGTATAGGCTTTAATATGGAGGACCACATAATTATTAAGAATAAAGCAACAAAAGAGATAGTGAGAGTCCACATGAAATTCAACCACACATAAAGGAGTTCCTATACAATATATATAATGCATATTACATAATTGCTTACATAGAATTTTCACATATTACAAAATGAGAGAAAAGAACAGAAACTTATGCTGTGAAAACTCAGCAAAGGCCCCTGAACTTTAGCCAAAGAACAATCACACCACATACACGTCACTTCTCTATGATTGCTATTTAGAAAAGACCACCTGGTCCCTTTCATCCCATTCTCCTTCACCAACATGCCAAAGAACAGTTTGGTTATAGATTTTTTACTTAATAAAAATCAAATTGCTCTCACTGGATTCAATATAACCATTACACAAAAAAGGGTGATCATTTCTATTCCCATACATTAACAACCGAGAACCACACATGATGTGGACAGATAGATGTAAATAGTTACATGTACCATTTTCATGCATGCATATTAATCCTTAATGGAACATAGACTTACTTTAGCTTAATGTTATTAAAGGAGGCAGATGTACAATATTCATCTTAAAACCAATACATGTTTTATTTAAAAAACATGGAAATAAATACTGTTAGAAATGTTCTGTTTAAATTAAGGTAAAGGAAAAATTGACTTTTCAAAAGTAGCCAGCTTCTGAAATAATTTAGCCTGCAAAAATTTAATTTTGTAACTGAAAAGTGAATATATGTTTGTGTGTGTGTGTGTGTGTATTTTTAATTTTCTTTTTTTTGTCATGGGTTTTGGATTCAGGGCCTGACAGTTCCTGAGCATTTCTGCTCAAGGCTAGTACTCTACCGCTTGAGCCATAGTTCCATTGGTGGCTAATTGGAGATAAAAGTCTCATGGAGTTTTCTTGCCTGAGCTGGCTTCAAACTTCAATCCTTAGATCTCAGCCTCTTGAATAGTTAGGATTATAGGTATGAGCCATGAATTACTATTATAAAAAAGAGGAAAACAGATAAAAGGTTTTCCATGCTTTCATGATTGCTGCAAATCCATGAACATGCCATCACAAAGGGGAACAGGGTTGGGCTCTATAGTCCAAAGAGGTAAACAACAGACTCTAATGAACTATTATTTCTTCTAGAACTACTAAATACCTTTGAAGTAACTCAAATGAATAGCAAAGCTGAAAATACAGGGTAGATGACCTCCCATATTCAACATGCTAGTGGACTGACAACACAGATGTCTGCCTCCAACAATAAGTAGGTGACAGATCAGAAAGACACCGACATGAACATAAAACAATAAAACCCAAAAAGTCAGAAGGCACATCTTGAAGATTAATTCCAGCAAATGAAAGATTTGAGGGTATATTAATAAAATAAACTCACACTCTTACTGAAAGCTTAAAATTCAATTTAAAAAAATCACCTTCAAAATGTTATGCAAAAGCAAAAATTTCTTATGTTGCCGTTTACCTTTAATTGTTTTCTTTTTAACTTAACAAAGGAAATGAGAGAAAACAAAGCTTTCTTCCAATCTGAGTATTTTACTTCCTAGCTTTTCCATAGGTCAGGAGAGAACATGGAATATTAGTGCGCGCCGCGGCCACTCAAGACTCCGTGCTCTTCTCCTTGTCCTGCTTTGCTTCCATGTGCTCAGAGCTGGGCTCAAGTCTGCTATTGACCCCCTCATTGGAATCACTGTTGGCTCTGCCTTCAGCCCCAGGAGACTGCTTGCCATGGGAAGAATGTTCACAGGCTTGATCTGTGGGAACAGCTCCTTTTCTTTGAGGTAAGATGGTAAAAAAGGCTTCTTGCCAGTCTCTTGTTTCCAGGTATTCCAGAATAATTTCAAATACTGCGTCAAAGACAAACTTCAAGTTCATCTCAATGTCACATACTCTTATAATACATTCTTTGTACTAAGAGTGTAAGCCTGTCATGGTAGCTATATGCCCGCCCTCCCTCCCATTGGCAACCAGGGCAATGTGTCCCAAGGTTCTGAAGCAGGTCCCCTCCTCCCCAGCTTCTCCTCCATCCCCTCTGAAACACACAGAAACTTAGCTGCATCCATTATCAAATACAACCAATAAACAGGGGACTGCTTTACCTTCCTTCCTATTTTATCCCTTCCATTTCTTTAAGTACTGATATATAACTAGAGAATAAATAGCATCCATCTAAATTTCCTGCTTTCCACTCACTCTTCGGAGCTTCTTGCTCCAAAGCTTCCTCCTGTTTATTTTTGGTTCTTTATACATTAGGAGCAAAGATGATCAATGCTGTCTGTCACTTATCTCAACACACTACTGAAAGAGATTTTGGATTACTTCATAGGAAAGTAATTTTCATTATATATCAAAAGTTTTATACGTTCTTCAAGAGCACTGGACTCATAACCTGACTTATGGAATTGTAACCTCTGTGTATAACTACTTAATAATAAAAAATTATCATTTCTAGAATTCCCTAAAATTTGCAATAGGAAGTATTTAGGTTTCAATAAGTAGCTGTGAATTGACTAAATTTGCTTAAAACTCCTGGTAAACAAAAACAAAGTGATCATAAGGTTATTCATGACAGCAAAAAGAAAAATAAATTCAGCAATAGAAGAGTGGTTATTATACATTCACGTAATAGAATATTACATAGCAGCTAAAAAGTATTCAATGATATGGAAAAATATAAGCAGGGAAGTGGGGCAATATACTAGATTAATAATAGTGGTCAAAACTGAGAATACAAATATATTAGCACAAGAAAGAAATGGAAGGAAGCGCACCAAAGAGTTAATACAAAGTATCTAGGAGTCGTGAGATTGTTTTTATTCTTCTAAACATTTTCAAAGTGTTTTAAAGTATGCATTATTATTTCTAGTGTTTAAACAGAATACAAATGATTACTCTTTATATAAATTGGTTTCTCCGGGAAGGTATAATATTTTCTATTTGTTCAAGTGATAAATGTGATGTTCTTTCCCACCATGTTTCCCGAGGTTCAGGATTTTTGGAGCTTCTGTCTAGCTTACCATGATTGACTGCCAAAACCTTCCGACTGTTCATCTTCACAAAATGTCCAAGGGGGAGCTGTGCATGGTCAATCCCATAATCTGATGCTTGTTTGTATGTGAATCCCTAAAACAAATGCACTGAGACTTAGAGCACAACACCAAATTATTTTTACTGTATATGACAGTAGAAGATAATTTTTAAAGAAGAGTTAGTGTAGGAATGATTATCTGAAGAGGGTAGTGTGTGTGTGTGTGTGTGTGTGTGTGTGTGTGTGTGTGTGTTTGTGTGTGTTAGTGACTCTTAATGTGGGAACATTTTCTTGACAATTAACTAGAATGTTATTTCATAGCATTTGTTTTAACTTCAATTTACTAACAGGACACAAAAGAAATGATCATCCCAGCCCGTTTACAAAGCTCCTCCAAGGATATGCAGTTTCACTTGTCTTCTGATTATGGTATCTTCTCACCATGCCCTATAGCTTTTCTCTCAGTTTAAAATATTCAAACCAAGTTCTGAAAGAAATGCAAACACTTTTACAGTGAATGTTAAAAACAAAACAAAAGAAAAAAACAACCAAAACCCCCACAAAGTTTGGTGGAACAAACCTGTAATCCCACCTACTTGGGAATCAAAGAACAGGAGGATTGAAGTTCAAGGCCAGGTAGAGCAAAAAGTTAGCAAGACCCTAGCAACCAATAAGTAGGGTGTGGTAGTTAATGTTTGTTATCCCAGTTATAAGGGAAGCCCAATTAAGAGGCTCACAGTCCAAGCCATCCCAGGTAAAAATGTGAGACCCCATCAGAAAAATAAACTGGAGACATGGGGGCATGATTCAAGTGGTACAGTACTTACTTTCAAACAAAGCACAAATGACCTTCAACCTGTACAACCCTGCTTGTGAAGAAAGAATCACTTCATACATTCTGCTAACAGTATTTCCTCAGACAGGGAATAAGCATCATTTTCCTCAGAAAGCTGGTTTGGATTTAGCCTGCTGTCAAGTACAAAATGCTATTTTCTTTTAGAAAGTGCAATTCTATCACTTTTCATCTAAGTGCGGGTATGGGGTAAAATAGCAAAGTATAAATAGAATAGGAAAAAAAAATCTCATGAAAATTGTCTATGTAAAACTGAAGGAAACTTGACTACTTGGTTAATAGCAGACTCTCCTTATCAGGACAGCATAGCACCTAAGTCTATGGGCTCATTTCTAGGCATTGGCTTTGCCCACCGAGCACTACTGGTTTTAGATTTAATTTAATTTAGATTTAATTTCAGACTCCTCTTGGGTGAGATACAGATGGTAACTGTGCTGACCTCTCCAAGTAAAGTGAACTCCACGGGGGGAAGCCTTTGCTTAGCTGGACAGGTCTAATACACCACAGCATTCTACAGACTCTGAGATAGGATTTTAAGTATGAGTAAATCCCCAAACACACGTAATAGTACCTTGTGATGGTTGTGATCCACTAAGCCTCCAATCACGTAGGCCTTTGATTCATCTAACTCCTTCAGAACATTAGGTGAATCTGATGTAAGATAAACCAGGTCTTCTTTTTTTATGAATTCACTGTAGTGCTCTGGTTTGATGTGGATATCCTTCAAAAGCAAAAGGTGGAAGGTTGTGAAAGTTGAACAAACTCATATAAAAGCATCTGAATGAAGTTTGAAAGACTACCAATATAATCATTGAAAATCTCTTCTTTAATTCCTTATCATATACCTTAATTATTTAAGCCTTCTAATTTTATTGTCCAGTCCCTGGCCTTAGGCCCTTCAGTTCTAGTTCATACACTGATAGGGAGTTAATTTTCTAATAACATTACTTTCTATGCTCTACCTTTTCTGGAAGGATAAAATTTAAACTTTTTTGTGTGTGTCTGTGGTGAGGCCTGAACTCTGGGCCAGGGCACTGTCCCTCAGCTCTTCAGCTCAAGGCTAGCACTCTACCACTTGAGCCACAGCATCACTTCTGGTTTTCTGGTAGTTTATTGGAGATAAGAGTCTCATGGACATTCCTGCCTGGGCTGGCTTTGAACCATGATTCTCAGATCTCAGCCTCCTGAGTAGCTAGGATTACCAGTGTGAGCCACTGACTCCTGGCAAAGTCCAAACTTTTTAATCCATGAACTCCTTCCTAACTATGGCACTAACTAACCTCTCCACCGCTTTTTCAGTAAAACAAATAATTTTTTATTGTGCTCTTAATCCGTTGTCCAGCTAAGAAATGTCTTCTCCAGATACTTTCTCTCCATTTACATACATGATCCAATGAAATTGCCCATTAATATAAAAATTTTATGTGTTTTTTTTTTCTACAAAGATACAAATTTGAAAGCTTCTTGACCAAAATTATCAGATGAGAAGTACAAGAAAGAACATTTGGCAGCCAGGATTCTGGAAACCTTCTTAGGTGCATAATGGGACATATGTTAAATAAAGCAGGTCAGGCCCAGAGAGGCAAAAATCCCATGTTTTCCCTTCTCTGTGGAAGTTAGATGTAGCTTACAAACTCCTAAGTAAATAAGCTGGGAGGTGTGCTAGTGTATACAAATGTGTTAACTGAAATATGGTAGAGGAAAGGAAGAGCTCAAGTAGAATAATACCTTAGAAAGTAAAAAATCAAAGTTCAGCAAAATGAAACACCAGGAAGTAGGTACTCAAAGGGGTGAGGTGCAGTCGAGGGGAAAGAGATAAATGAATGAAGAAGTGGGGAGAATGCAGACAAGAATTCAATGTATGTCTTATGAAATTAAGAAAAGTGAGAAGAGTGAGCAGGGGGAGCGATGGGTGAGAATGTTGGAAGGGGTGACATTGATCAAGATATATCGTACTCAAAAACTGCCTTGTTAAATGGCAGTTCCTTTCTACAATTACCTAAAGATGATTTTTAAAAAAGAAAATAAGTCATAAGGCTCAGATATCATTTGTCTAATAATTTTAAGAAAACCAAGAATGGGTCTGGAAAGGTGGCTTAGTGGTAGAGTGCTTGCCTTGCATGTATGTGGCCCTCAGCACCACATAAGCAGAAAAAGCCGGAAGTGGTGCTGTGGCTCAAGTGGTAAAGTGCTAGCCTTGAGCTGAAGAGTGGAGGGACAGCACCCAGGCCCAGAATTCAAGCCCCATGACCAACCAAAAAAATAAAAAGAAAAAAAGAAAAGAAAAGAAAACCAAGAATAAAGCAGACACCTAAATTATATATCAATACAGAGTCACTTTTCTGGGAAATCATACATCATAAATTTGTCCTATACATAATTATAAGGGCCTCAAGGGCCTGACGTATGGCAAAAGGTAGAGGGGAAAAAACTGCCCAGCAAGCATGGGGCCCTGAGATCAATCCCCAAAAAGCCACAAAATGGACCTAATTAGAGACCAGTGAGTCTCCTATCCCTCTGGAAAACTGATGATATACAAAATCCAGCAAGACACAAAATAATTAGAAGTATGTCCATTCTAAAACAGCATGTGAGGAAAGTAGATACAATGATGTGATAAACACACTGTGTTTGCAAGTGTTCACATTATAAGCTGTTAATAAATGTAGCTATTACAGGATTATTAGTGTGAGAAGGAAAACTGGTCACTGTGAAAACTAAACAATAAAGTATACAAATTACCCAGTGTTTCTCTGAGATGTACTCCACAGGGACTGGGTCTGAAGCCTATTGATATCTGGGACTCAACAGTCAGTCGGCACAATAGAGAAAACTATGAGCCAGCCACACACACACACACACACACACACACACACACACACACACACACACACACACACACACACACACACACACACACACACACACAACTTTAAATCTCCTGTCATATTTTAAGAAGTAAATAGGTAAACTAAACAATTGATTTTAACATTATGGTTTACTAATATAAGGCATGCTGTCATTATAATATATAATAAGTACTTAAAAATTATATAGATCTTGCCAGGTACCAGTGGCTCACACATGTAATCTTAGCTACTCAGGAGGTGAAGGATCACAGTTTGAAGCCAGCCTGGGCACTCTTGTCTCCAGTCAACCAGCACAAAACTGGAAATGGAGGTATGGCTCAAGTGGTAGCAATTAACCTTGAGTTAAAAAGCTCAGGGATAGCATTCAGGCCCTGAGTTCAAGCCCTAGGACCAACACACACACACACACACACACACACACACACAAAATTATATAAATCTTTTTCTTTTTCTCTCTCCCTTTCTCTTTCACTCTCTCCTCCCTGGTCCCAATTACTAAGCTGTCACTAAGTCTTAGAAATCAACTCTATTTCCCATTCACAGTTCACACCACAGTTCACAGTTCCACAGTCACATGTGGCCAGTGGCCCACTCTGGAAAGCATAGATTTAGAAGAAATGGCATACAGGCATACTTGTCAATTTTACAGTGACTTCACCCTGTGGCATGCAGGTTTGAAGAGCAGCATTTTAGGGGATTTAGGCCAAAAGCATAGAAGGTTCAAAGCACAAACACGTGTGATTATGCGAGTGGATCTTTCTTGATTACCTTCCAGTTGACCCAGCCTCTGTCATTCTCATCCATGTTCTTTTTCAGCTGGCCACCATGGCTGGTCAAGTAAAACTGTTGATGGATTGGCAGGCACCGGAAGAGAAGGAAAATGATCATTTAAGCTTAGTATTTATTTCTCTCATATACTCATCTAATCATCAAGCAGATACAAAATATATTCCCAGTGACCAGGAAAAAGTGATTTGTGATGAACACTGCACGTACAAAGAATTTCTTGCAGAAATGACATGTGTGAAGAGGGACATCAGAACCCACTAGCTTCAGTGTTCCTTCCATACTTCCATCCTGTTTTCTATTTTTGTTGTTGTTGTCAGTCGTGAGGCCTGAACTCTGGGCCTGAGCCTTGCCCCTCAGCTCTTCAGCTCAAAGCTAGCGTTCTACCACTTGAGCCACAGCGCCCTTCCGACTTTTTCTGCTTATGTAGTACTGAGGAATCAAACCTAGGGCCTCATGCATGCAAGGCAAGTGCTCTATCACTGAGCCACCTTCCCAGCCCCACCCCATTTTCTTTATAGCACAAGCACTCTGCTCTCCATGAAGATCGACCTCTGCAGACTGCCTGCATCATTGGGAGCTGACCATCTCCTGTTCCTTTCACCACTTTTGTTATTTTTTGCCACTTGAAAGTCCTCCCAATTTTCTTTGATTCCAAATCTGAATACCTGTGTAACATCAGAATCATGGGTGACGAGAGCTCATTGTGGACAAAGAAGAGGACTGAAGGAGAATCATAGAAGTGAGACATCATAAAATCATAAAATTATGAAAACCTAAAGCTACTATTACTTGGTAAAAATCAAAATATATAACTAGAAGTACTCTTAACAATATCTTAATCCAAACTTATGAAATTCTTCTTCAATCCTATCAGTTACTAAAAAAGAAAGGAATGTCCTTTAACCTGAGGAAGACTGTCTTTTCTAACAAAGTGAATTGCTTAAAAGTTCCTGCTTTGGCCTGATGGCTTGGCTCTTATTTAGGAAAGGATGAACTGCCTTGGGATAAAGTATTTGTAGGGTTGGAAAGGTGGCTCAATGGTAGAGCGCTTGCCTTGCATGCATGAGGCCCTGGGTTCAATTCCTCAGCACCACATAAGCAGAAGAAGCCGGAAATGGTGCTGTGGCTCAAATGGTAGAGTGCTAGCCTTGAGCTGAAGAGCGGAGGGACAGTGCCCAGGCCCAGAGTTCAAGCCCTATGACCGACAAAAAAAAAAAAAAAAAGTATTTGTAAAATACAAGGTGTTTGTGTTAAACTGGTTTCAAGATGGAATTACAACACATCCCAGATCCCAGACAGTTCAAGAAATAGTAGAGTATGGATACATTTTGAGATTACTTGTGAACTATTAATCTTATTTCAAAATCACCCTATATAAATACATTCACCATATGTGAGCAGAAGTAAATTTTGCAGAAGTAACTTTTGCCTTGCTGAGATAATTCTTTATTATCAGGTTTATCGTCATTCCAATGTTTCTTGGAGAGCATATTTATAACACTTACGTAGTCGAGACCTGGCTAACAGGTACTACCGCACATGAGGGTCCTGGGCAGCCTCCCCCATCCCCCTTTCCATCTCCCAGATCTGGCTGCAAGTGAAGGCTGAGAGGTAGTGTGACAAAGTATCCACCTTACAATGATATCCGGCCACATGTGAGAACCACATGTGAGAAACTATATTTAAAATACTTTATGTGAATGATGAAAGGAGAATGACACTAATCAAGAAGCATTGTACTCATAACTGACATGTTGAATTGAAACCTCTTTGTATAACTAAAGATATTAAAAACATAATATTTTACTTTTGTAACAACAAAAAAAGAAAACAAAAAATAGGATGCCTTAAGACTCATGCACAAACAACCAGAATCATCTATTTCTTCGGTCCTTTAGACATACCTGCACAGGATGAAGTGCTCGCCTGTTTTCTGCGTAGCAGCGTTGAATCTGCTTATGAAGTTTCTTAATGTCCTATAAAGAGAGTGTCATTTTTAAAAATTATCAAAACAACCTATGGCCATTCCAAGATGTTAAGGGAACAGAATAAGCACAAGGGACGGCTGGATAGGCAAAGGTCTCTTCTCATCATTTTGACTGATTTCCTTCCACAGTAATAACAGTACTGTAAGGAAAGCCAGTAATTCAGTACATGTCGCATCCTTTCATATTTTCGTATCCACTTAAAATTTGAGTTCTCGAGAAATAGCTACTCTTAAGAGGCAGCAAAAAATTCCTTTAAAGCCATACTACTACTATTTTCATGTTTTCTCAATGGTTTTATGATTAATATGCAAGTACTAAAATTTCTCTTTAAATTATGGAGGATATGTCTTTGTCTATACATAAATACAAATACCATAGTGATTTATTAACTAACTTATGGAGCAGAAATTTTGAAAATCTTCAGTCAAAATGTACTTTTTTTTTTTTTTGGCAATTTGGGGGTTTGAAGTCAAGGTCTGACATTTGGTAGGCAAGTGCTCTATAACTTGAGCCATATTCCCAGCCTTTTTTTGGTTTGGTTTTCAGATAGTCTCTTGTTTTTGTCATGGACCAGCCTCAGCCTTTAATCCTCCTACCACTGCCTCTCATGTAGCTGGATTACAAGTGTGCCCCACCATACCTAGCTTGTTTTTCAAGACAGGGTCTCAGTAATGTTTTTTATCCAGCTGGACTTAAACCATGATCCTCTCATCTCTGCCTCTCTCATAACTGGGATTGCAAGCATATGCCACTACATCTGGTCCTTTAAGATGTACTTTAATACATAAATTTATTAGCAACATTACATATATTAAAATTAAAATAATTTGGCTTAGTTTACCTACAGGTTTTTTTTTGTTCTTAACATATATTTTTTATTCTAAAGATACTGTATAGAGGGGTTACAGTTACATAAGCAAGGTAATGAGTCCACTTCCTATTGAGCATTGTTACCCTCTCCTTTATTTTTCCCTACTATCCCTTTCCTCCCCAACTCCTCCTTCTCCTTTCCTTCCACCCCCACAACATTGTAAAGTTCTTTTTTAACATACTGTCTTGTACATCTCATTGTTAGAATGGGTCATCTTACATACTTATTTCAGCATTTTGTTATTTCCCTTCCCCTCCTCAAATTAGAAAAATGTATATACAAGAGGCAAGACAGAATCACATACAGTGACAACATGGGTTGTACCATGAGTGAAGAACATACAAAGAAACAAACAAAAACCACATAGTACATTATAAGTACATTAAAAAAAAACAACAAGAAAGATAAAATCTCTTGTGTCCCTGTCTTGGGGTTCATTTCGCTTAGCATCAGGTTATATGGTCATATGTACATAGCTTTTGACCTCTTCTGCTTGTCCTAAACATATACTAGTTGCAGATAAGGGAAACCATGGGACCTATGTTTCTTTGAGTATGGCTTACTTCACTTACTATAATTTTTTCCAAGTTTTTCCACTTCCTAACAAATAAGGGTGGTGTCATTCTTTTTGACGGAGGCATAGAATTCCATTGTGTGTGTCTGTGTGTGTATATAAACAAACACCACATTTTCTTGATCCATTCATCTACTTAGGGGCATCTGGGTTGGTTTTATATCTTAGCTATGGTGAATAATGCTGTGATAAACATAGTTGTGCTGGTAGCTTTTGTACAGCCTTGTTTGTGATTGTTTGGGTAAATGCCTAAAAGTGGGATTGCTGGGTCATAGGGGAGCTCTATGTGTAGTCTTCTGAGGAACCTCCATACTGCTTTCTAAAGTGGTTGAACAAGTTTACATTCCCACCAACAAGGCAACCCTATAGTTTTCTAACAATCATTCATGATACCTTTAATGCCATCAAATTATCAAAGCTACAGTCAATGATAAGGCGGAGATTGCTCTGTGCAATATGTCTTCGCACACGTTTTCGCTCATTTCCATCTGAGTTGGAGTCCAGCTGACCCTGGCGCTCTAATTTCTTCCTCTTGCGTTTTTCTTTCCGCTTTTGTCTAAAATTAGCAATTGAAATAATGTTTTATTATTATTTGTGTATCTATATATTCCCCAGACTCTTCGAAATATAGTTTACAATCAAGGTAAACTATATGAAGTTTTAGTTCATCTATCAGCTTTATACAGGTAGAAAATCACTTTTCAAAACAATCTAAAGCTACCTATTTAATTCCTAACTATACTGATCAATAATCTCCTTAGTAGCATTGCACGTTCACTAGGAAAACCTACTAAATTGGAAGCTTGATGAATGTTACTTTCATTAGTCATTCCCCAGTGTGGTTTTCAAGGAATGAATATTCATACTTTTCATAACCTGTATTAGCTATAGTTTATTTCCTCTTGTAAATTTTGGCATTGAACAATACCCGCTATAGTAGAACTGCTCTCAGAAGAACCTATTCTAGCCAAATTCATGTTAGGTCTAACTGATCTGAGTTACTTTTCTTCCCTATCTAGGACACAGAAACTAACTATATTCCCTACTGAAGCCAAGTGTTTCTGAAATGGTGCTTCTCTCTACAGTAGGTTCTGGGTGAGGACAAGGATCGCATGCAAATTCACCACTACTAATGAAAACCAGTAACCTCAATTCAAAGTACATTCAGTTTTACTCCAAGTGGTGGTATTAGCAAGCAGGGAGCAGGTCAGGCCAAGGACTAAGGCAGATTTAACTCTTGGTTCTTCTGCATAGAAGTAATCCCATACTGAAACACCTACTTGCGGAGTTCCCGCTGCTCCTCCCATTGCTTCTGTTTCATTAACTTCTTCATTTGCCGTTTAGACACCGGCTCAGTCACTTCATTGGAGCATGGCTTCTGCTTCTCCTCTTGACTTTCACTTACATCTTGCTTTCTTTCCACATTAGATGTGTCAGTAAATGCTGACAACATTTCTGAGGACATTGTTTGATGCCTTGGAAAAACTGAAAAGCAACTCCATATGAATAATTTACAAACCCACAAAAAAGTACAATGCAGTAATTTACCAAATCATATGATTAATGTTAAACTATGTCAGGAATAAATAAAAAGGAAAAATTTTAGGTAGTTAAATGTCATTTACTAGTAAGGATCATTTCAGTATATCATTCACTGGATGTATCATAAAAAATTTTAGAAGGCATCATAGTCTTAAATAATGTTTTAACACACCAAGAGCTATTGATCGAGTAACGCATTTTCTTACAATAAATGTACACAAAAAGTTGCCTAAGAGCATAAGCACTGTTAGAAACTACTTGAATATCAGTAAAAAATTTCTAACATTATTTAATAATGTTATTTTTATTTTTTGCCAGTCCTAGAGCTTGAACTCAGAACCTGGGTGTTGTCCCTGAGCTTCTTCTGCTTAAGGCTAGTGCTCTACCAATTGAGCCATAGCACAACATCCAGCTTTTTAGTAGTTTATTGAAGATGAGAGCCCCATGAACTTTCCTACCTGGGCTAGCTTCAAACTGCAATCCTAAGATCTCAGCCTCCTGAGTAGCTAGGCTTACAGGCATGAGCCACCAGCTATATTCTATGGCTATATTTTAAGGTTAAAAAAAAATCAACCTTCTCCCAATAAATCAATTATATTGAATTATTTTAAAAAGCATATGTAGAAACATGTGTTTTCAACATTTAAAACTTCAGCCAGTTTTAGCAACAGGTTTGGCTGCCCTGCCCTGTTCATGTAAATATTCTGTTTCAGTCATGGTTAAAAACCAAAACATCAAAGTTGATTCTGTAATCAGAAATTGGAGGCAAATTCTAAAAAAAAATTAGAAGGATAAATTTAAAATATATGTATTGTGATTACTTTTACTTTCTTTCGACATACAGCACATTAAATCAAGCCATGCATGTATTCAAAGCAAACCTGAAAGCATAATTAAAGTTCAAAGGAATGTGTTTTCTTTATGAAATAATACTTTACCAAGGCAATGCATTTCTGTTCATTAGTGGCAAAATATTTGGCTAGTTTTCTATAATGATCAAAAATTCCAAGTGATTGCTATACGGTGAGAATTTAAAAGCGCCTGAAAGCAATGTTCTAACTGATGTACACCAGGGGGAGTGTTTGCCTTGCATATGGGAGAAGTCTCAAGTTAAATTGAACTCAACCTATCATAACCTACCAAGGTTTTAAATCAGCCTATCAAATACAAGCAAAGGTCACAAATGAGTGAACATAATTAAAAAAAAACTATCCTCAAGATGAACTATAGTAAATGTACTGCACAAAGATAACTTCCAACTCTTATGTGTAAACATTTCGCTATGTGTTAGCTTGTCCCAATTACCCATTATGTGAAACATGACTACTAACTTGTTTTCTAATTATTTCAATTTGGGTCATGACATAAAATCTCAATAGTTAGGGGTTCTTAAACATGCAGGAATGCTCACAAGACATTTCGCAAGCACAGAAAATATGTAAGAACGATATTTTAAGTAATTATATAAATATTTGTGTGAAATTTTATTTTGGCTTTTAAAAAAATTGAGTTTATTCACAGAGATTGGCGGGCTTATAAATCTAAGAATTGGATGAAGACGACGGGACCTCTTGGTGTGGGAAGAACACACATTAATCCGTGGTCAATAGGAATCACTAAAACAATTTTCGAGAGTATTATCAAACTGACTAAAAAGAGTTCTTATCATTTATGGCACTTATTCATTTCGGAAAGTGCCAAACTAGGAAAACAGAAGTGTGGCTCAAGTGGTCGAGGGCCAGCCTTGAGTGAAAATGCTAAGAGCTGTGTCCAGGCCCTGATTGCTCAGGTCTCAGCACTTGCACGAAAATAAAAACAAAAATCACAAGGAACCAAACTGACGGAGGCTTTAAAATGTTGACCAAATCTGCAGGAGCAGAAGTCCCTAGCTCTGCTTAGCTATCAAGGCTGTGGCAGGGAAGGCCAGCACGGAACGAGAGAGAATTAAGTTTTCAAAGTAAAAAGTTGTCCTTATCCTCTTAACATCTCCGGAGAATTCCCCAAACCTGAAGGGCTTAAAAAGCATTCCAGTGAAATCAAGCAACACTTAGATCTTCTAAGCCCGTCTAGGGCGGGCTGACCACCACGAGGCCTGGCAGCTTCTGCCTCAACCTCCCCTCGGGTTCTCCACATCCTAGGGCTGTCATGTCATTCCCTCCCAGGGCAAATCAGGCCAAGGCGGGGTAAAGCGCCTGGACCAGTTTTTAGCCACAGAATGGCACTGCCGCTAATAGTCTTCCGATCTTTCAAAGCTCAGAGCCCTCTCCAGTTAGCCCTGGTAAAAAACCAGCCTCTTTGTAAACTGGGAATCCACCCGCAAGAAAAGAACACCAGCAAGAAAACACCCCACCCCGGCCGCGAGAACCGCGCCCACTCTCCCTTCACGCTATTCGCTGCCATCGGGGCCCGGAGGCGGGACTAAGCTGCAGCCGACGAATAAGAGGGGTGAGTCGGCAAGCGGGTACGCGCCCAGTCTGACGTCATTTCCTTTAGGAACTGCAAGGCCGCAGGTAGTTACGCGGGCCTGCTCCTCGCTTCCTCCGGAAGCCCTTGTTGCCAGTGGCGGGCGGCATGGCAACGCACCCTTTTTGATCCGAAAAGCTACCCATCCACAAGCAAGCGCCAGCCTTAGTGCCAGACTTACCGAGCCAAGGAGCGGGTGGGGCTGTGAGCGATCTCTCAGAAAGCCTTTCTGGAGTAGTCGCGTTACCGCGTGCGCGGTCTCCTTCGGAAACTTCAACTCCCAGAGTCAGAGGCGGTAGTTGCACGCTGGCGTCTCCGTCGCTTACGCTTGTGCGTCATCAAACGGAGCCAATTCCTAACCCTCTGCGGGGCGGAAAGAGGTGGGGCTTAAGTGGGGCGGGGCTTAAGGCTGGGGGTTAGGGAGCGGGAAGGAGTTTTTGTGGCCTGGGCTCTTTCCTGGACCTGGAGATGGGAATCGTTAACTCCCTACCAGGGAGCTGGGAACGTTTCTCCTTTGCTATTTCTTCCTACTTTAATCCTCTTATACTAAACTAAATCCTTGCTAAAACTTGAAAGAATAAAAGCTATGCACCTGCATGCATTTAATTCGCTTGCATATTAGGAGATTCAGAGTTCCACTCCCCAGAATGAACATGCGAAACCTGACAAAGCCTCCTAATGTCCTCAGTGTTGAGGACAGGAGGAAAAGTCCTGCCTAGTGTATTTCCAATTTGGGAAAGGGTTGCCTGGACATCAAGGCTTTACAGTTCAAATGGAGAATTAGAAATGCGAGTGAAGTCCGCAAAGAAAATGAATTTGAGAATTCCCCACTTTATATGGCTTTAACACACGTGCTTAAACCCTATGCTGAGATATTCCTCAGATATGCCTAGGCTGTTTTGCAAAAACATCAGGTGACATTTCATTGTAATACATGAAGAAGAAATGCAACAGTAATATATTTTGTCGTTTTTGTCTTCGGCGTTTTATTTGGCCCTCCTTTCAATAGGTGATTATTATAGAATTTGAAGATTAAAAACTAGCGCTGAATCTTTGAATGAAAGTCCACCTTCGTTTGGAAAGAACCCTGGAGTGAATTATTTTTCCTTCTCTTTCAACTTTTTTTTTGTACTAGAGATCGATCCCAGAACGTTGCATTTTGCTAGGCAAAAGCTTTTTCTCTGAGCCACATCCCAGCCCTAAAATGAATTTTTCTTGGTGCTTGAAGACATTTGGACATGCTAAAAGGTTTCAGTGAATAGAAAATTCAATTTATGTTTTGAGATTCTTCAAAAGTCTGGAAATGTCTCTGAATTTAATCACAAAATCAAAGTCACTCTTGCTTTAAACTCCCAAATTTTATTTGAAAACTATGCTAACTGACACTTGTGTGTCCCTCTCTGCTTCTTTCTCAACTGAACTCTGATTAAGAGATCTCTTTTGATAGGTCAGATAAGTTGATGTTAGGGGAATGAACCCCAAGATAAGTATTCAAATGTTTTTTTTCTTTCATGCAATTGTTTCTAACATATTTATAAGATGATTTCTATGTTGCTTTGTATGTCCCTCCCCCACGGTATAACCCCTACTTTCACTGTATTTGATGTTGGTATAATTTGTGGGGGGAAAGGACACAAACAAATCGCTTAACTAGGGATACAGGTGGACCCATTGCAACAATGAGATGTACAAGTCATTATGTTGAAAAAAGAACATTACATCTTTGGGGGTGGGGGAGTATGGGAAGGGATGGGAAGGGGAAACAAAGAGGAGGCAACAATGCTTGATAAGAAATGTACTCGATATTTTGCCCATGTAATCGTAACTCCTCTGTACGGTATTTTCACAATAAAAAATAAATTTAAAAGAAGATCTCTCTTGAGTGAGCACTGGCAATGAAGTCTGGATCCATTTCTGATCTGTTAGTAGGGCATCTTTTTTCAGCCGCCTCCATATCAGGACAGAAAGTAGCTGAGGGAGGATTAGTAATTGGATATGTAGCTCTTCACATGTAGGTCATTAAATTCAGGCTGGCATAGTGATTTGCCAAATCTCTCAACAGCTGTTCAGTTGCTCCTATGGGATCTCTCTTATAAATAATTATACATTTTTAGAGGTAATACATGATGTCCTTAGAGATTTAAAACAATTTTTTACATTGCCAAAAAATTCTCACTTTAATTATGTCATAAATATTTAAACTCAAACATTTAACTTTGTAGTCATATGGTCAAAATCCAAAGAAAATGCCAACAAAGTTCAACAAGAAAGTTCAGTTTAAAGACTGAAGTATATAAAGTTTTAGGTGAAGTTGTGTGATATGAAATAATCATTGATATGTAAAATTCATGTTTATTACATTTAAGAGTTCTGTGTTTTGGGGCTGGGAAAGTGACTCAGTGGTAGAGTGCTTGCCTCACATGCATGAGGCCATGGGTTCGATTCCTCAGCATCACATAAACAGAAAAAGCCTGAAGTAGTGCTGTGACTCAAGTGGTAGAGCGCTTGTCTTGAGCTGAAGAGCTCGGGGACAGTGCCTGGGCCTACAGTTCTAGCCCCATAACTGACCAAAAAAAAGAGTTCTGTGTATTTTGTCTTAGCACTGGTGATACAGTAGTGATTAAAGCATCATCTGTGTCCTCCTGCAATCCCAGTGTACTAGGAGATCCAGAAGGAAGTAAATACCATGTATAGTGCACTGGAGATGCTGATGATGGGAAGGAACAGCTCAGTATTCCTTGAGGCCAAGGTCATAGTTTCAAAGATTTAGTAATTTTGCACCATCTTGGAAAGTAAGTTGTCCAAATGTCAGGAAAGAAAGGAACTTGAAACAGTGGTGACCGTGAAAGCAAGTATGTGTGTGTGTCATGGTTTTGAATATGACTGAAAAGCTGTGGGTAGAATGAGGAAGAAGGCAAAGGGATAATTCTAAGAATTTTTCTAATTTGGACTGCTATACAATGTAATCCTATGCACTAGGTCATTTATGGAACAAGAGAAGCCAAGTGTCAGAAAATAATAGTAACTTTGGCTTTCAATAGATGGAGGCGGAGAAATCTGCAGCATTCCCTCTTCTGGATATCTATGTGGAAGACATGAAATCATTATTCATACAGACATCAGCGTCTATGGGCATTGTAGTACTAATCCCAGTAGCCAAGACTGCATATTGCAGAGTGATAGGAGGCTACAGACAGACCCAGAATTTAAGACACGAAACATACTGGAGTTGGATTGTTTCTACCAGCTCATATTTTGAAATATATAAGGACACATCTGAACATTCTGAGAAAGGGGGGCGGGTTACTTCAAACTCTCAAATAATTACTAAAAACCCAAAGGGATTAGTAACACAACTAGCAGGGATCCAGCAAGTTCAAGGTTGGTATAAAGGAACCAGCAGGAAGTTCTAAACTTGCCAGAGTGATGTGAATTCTAGGAAAACAAAAACATCAAACTGTAACTGTAATCTGCTGCAAAGACCACATTAAGGAGAAATCACGAGGATTAGAGTCCAAATTTAACAGGACTGGAACAGCAGAGGCAGATCAAAAAGTATGTCCAGAGAAAAGTGAAAGAAGAGAGTGGAGATAGAGAACAGGAAATACATGTGTCATTTTATGAAAACATCAGAAAAAGTACCCTAGTCAGAAGGCTAGAAAAGCCATTCAACTCACTCCTTCTTAAAAGCACAGAATAACTTAGTTAAAAATACACCAAGACAGGAAGAGAACATAATCTTACAAGAAGTAGCTCACTAGATTACATTGGTTAGGCTTGAAATCAGTGAGACATGCAGATGAAAAAGAAGTTTGGTAACATAGTCTATTGAAATCATTTTTAAAATAATATATAGAGAAATAACTTTTTCTACTTATCTATATTGATAAAAATTTTCTGTAACTTCACATCTGGTATACTTTATTTATTTTTTTTTGGGTCCAGTCATGGGGCCTGAACTCTGGGCCTGGGCACTGTCCCTCAGCTCTTCAGCTCAAGGCTAGTGTTCTAGCACTTGAGCCACAGCGCCACTTCCGGCTTTTTACTTTTTGCTTATGGTTTTTAACAGACACAAAGCAACAACATGCTCATACAGAGACCTTCACCACAAAATCAACAGTGTCTTGGATAAAAAAATGCTTGTTGTCAACCTAAAGTGATAAATATGTATGATGTATAAGAATCACTGGTTATTGTAAATCTTGTTATTGCAACATAACACAAGGTATCTTGACTTAATTCCATGTTTTGCAACTTATTCTGGAGTTTATATACCTATGGAAATCAAACATACACTTAAGAAAAATACAGTTTCTAGCTTGATTTAATAATGAATTAATTGGAA